CCCTCCCCTCCACCCCTCCCATCCACCCCTCCACCTCTCCCCTCCACCCCTGCCCTCCACCCATCCCCTCCCCTCCACCCCTCCCATCCACCCCTCCCCTCCACCCCTCCCCTCCACCCCTCCCATCCACCCCTCCCCTCCACCCCTCCCATCCACCCCTCCCCTCCACCCCTGCCCTCCACCTCTCCCGTCCCCTCCACCCCTCCCCTCCACCCCTCCACCCCTCCACTCCACCCCTCCCATCCACCCCTCCCCTCCACCACTCCCCTCCCCCCAACCACCCCTCCCCTCCACCTCTCCCTCCACCCCTCCCCTCCACCCCTCCCATCCACCCCTCCCCTCCACCCCTGCCCTCCACCCCTCCCCTCCACCCCTGCCCTCCACCTCTCCCGTCCCCTCCACCCCTCCCCTCCACCCCTCCACCCTCCACCCCTCCACCCCTCCCGTTCACCCCTCCCCTCCACCCTCCACCCCTCCACCTCCACCCCTCCCCTCCACTCTCCGCACGCTTCCATCTCTGCCACTTCCCGTTAGCGTCTCTCGCTGCCCTGCAGGGCGTCAACACGCGTGTCGGTGTGTGTGTCTGTGTGTGTCTCTGTGTGTGTGTCTGTGTGTGTGTGTGTCTGTGTGTGTGTCACTGTGTGTGTGTGTCTGTGTGTCTGTGTGTGTGTGTCTGTGTGTGTGTCTGTGTGTGTTTCTGTGTGTGTGTCTGTGTGTCTGTGTGTGTGTCTGTGTGTCTGTGTGTGTCTGTATGTGTGTCTGTGTGTGTGTCTGTGTGTGTCTGTGTGTGTGTGTGTCTGCGTGTGTGTCTGTGTGTGTCTGTGTGTGTGTGTCTGTGTGTGTGTCTGTGTGTGTGTCTGTGTGTCTGTGTGTGTGTCTGTATGTGTGTGTGTCTGTGTGTGTGTCACTGTGTGTGTGTGTCTGTGTGTCTGTGTGTGTGTGTCTGTGTGTGTGTCTGTGTGTGTTTCTGTGTGTGTGTCTGTGTGTCTGTGTGTGTGTCTGTATGTGTGTCTGTGTGTGTGTCTGTGTGTGTCTGTGTGTGTGTGTGTCTGCGTGTGTGTCTGTGTGTGTCTGTGTGTGTGTGTCTGTGTGTGTGTCTGTGTGTGTGTCTGTGTCTCTGTGTGTGTGTCTGTGTGTGTGTGTCTGCGTGTGTGTCTGTGTGTGTCTGTGTGTGTGTGTCTGTGTGTGTGTCTGTGTGTGTGTCTGTGTGTCTGTATGTGTGTCTGTGTGTGTGTCTGTGTGTGTCTGTGTGTGTGTGTCGGTGTGTGTGTGTCTGTGTGTGTCTGTGTGTGTGTGTCGGTGTGTCTGTGTCTGTGTGTGTGTGTCTGTGTGTGTGTGTCTGTGTCTGTGTCACTGTGTGTGTGTCTGTGCGTGTGTGTCTGTTTGTGTGTGTCTGTGTGTGTGTGTCTGTGTGTGTGTCTGTATGTGTGTCTGTGTGTGTCTGTGTGTGTGTGTCTGTGTGTGTCTGTGTGTGTGTCTGTGTGTCTGTGTGTGTGTCTGTGTGTCTGTGTGTGTCTGTGTGTGTGTGTCTGTGTGTGTGTCTGTGTGTCTGTGTGTTGGGGAGCGGTAGTGTAGCGGTTAGCGCGCTGCGCTATGAACCTGGCGACCCGGGTTCGATTCCCGCTCACGGCTAACACCAGTGACGATTATCTGAACCGGTCCTGGGCCTCCCCTAGGTCGACTCAGCCTTAAATGAGTACCTGGTGCGGTGTGTAAACATCGCCACTAGGGAGACAAAGGCGGTCGGGCGTGGTGCTGGCCACCCACCCCCTCGTGTACCGTTCCGGCCTTCATAGGTGCTCGCTAACAGCACTTGCCCCTACAGTCTGTTCAGGCTATACGGGGGATCTTTGTGTCTGTGTGTGTGTCTGTGTGTGTGTCTGTGTGTGTGTGTGTCTGTGTGTGTGTGTCTGTGTGTGTGTCTGTGTGTGTGTGTGCTACGCTGCACGAGGAACTCCGGAGACCCGAGTTCGATTCCCGCTCGCGGGCCAACACCGGTGACAATTATCTGAACCGATCCTGGGCCTCCCCTAGGTCGACTCGGCCATCAAATGAGTACCCGGTGCGGTGTGGGAACATCACCAATGGGGAGACAAAGGCGGCCGGGCGAGATGCTGGCCACCCGACCCCCTCGTGTGCCGTGCCGGCCTTCATAGGTGCCGCTACTCGCTAAAGGCACTTGCCCCGACATCCTGCGAAGGTTACACGGGGGACCTTTGTCTTTGTCGGTGTGTGTAGAGGCACAGACAATGCCCCATCTCCCCGTCTCCCCCACCCTCATCCTCCGCCTGTCTCCCTCTCTCTCTGTCTCTCTCACTCTGTCTCTCTCACTCTCTCTCACTCTCTCTGTCATTAACTGCAGACGGTCACGATTTTGCTTTTATAACCCTTGACAGCGCCAGTCCACGCTTAGCTCACTTGATTGTTGCCAATCTGCCCCCCACCCCACCCCACCCAACGATCCCCCCCACCCACCAATCTCCCCAACCTCACCCATCAATCCCCCTACCTCCTACCGACCATTACCCAATCCTCACCCACCAATCCCCCAACCCCCACCCACCAATCCCCCTACCCCCTATCCACCAATTCCCTAACCCCCACCAATCCTCTACTCACCCACCAACCCCCACCCACAAATCCCCCTACCCCCCCATCCACCAGTCCACCTACCCCTACCCACCAATTCTCCAACCCCCAGGAATCCCCTACTCATCCACCAACCCCCACCCACCAACCCCCCTACCCCCACCCACCAGTCCACCTACCCCCTACCCACCAATTCCCCAACCCCCACCAATCCCCTACTCACCCACCAACCGCCACCCACCAACCCCCCTACCAACCCACCCACCAATCCCCATGCCCCACCCACGGGGAGAGATGAGAGTGGAGCGAGGCTCTGCAGCGTGAAGGCGCTCATTGTTAATGCCTCTTAATCAATTATAAACAACAATCAACAACAACAAACATCAACAACAAACATCATCAACAACAAACACAAACAGCACCCCCCCCCCCCCCAGCCTTCGTCTATGCTCTATCCATGGCCCTAACGTTTCAGCCGGGCGACTTGGTTTTGGCTAAGATGAAGGGCTACCCGCATTGGCCTGCCCAGATCGACGAACTTTCCTTGATGGAGCCGTAAGACCGCCAAACAGTCATCCCATGCTCTTTGGCTCTTTCGGTAAAGTCACGTGGGTAGAAAAACAATAGATCACGACGTTTCGATCGCAACGTGTGCAATCGTCATCAGGTGTGACAACCACAGCAAGAAAAAACTGCTGCCTACTTCAACAGTTTTTTCTGCGATCGAAACGTCGTGATCTATTATTTTCCTACCCACGTGACTTTACCGAAAGAACCGAAGACTATGGATCCCTGCAGTCACGAAAGCTTCAAATCAAAGCATCCCATATTTGTCCTTGGCACCCATGAAGCTGCCTTTATCAACGTGTAATAAAGGTCGTTGAGGCGACTTCTGGAATCCGGTCTTTTATTCAACTTCCATTACAGCTTTCCTTCACGCTGCTGACCGACAGCGTGAGAGGGACAGATAGAGAGAGAGACGCACCGCCACGTGGCAGCCCGGACCACGTGGCAGCCCGGGCCACGCTGCAGCCCGGGCCACGCGGCAGCCCGGGCCACGCGGCAGCCCGGGCCACGCGGCAGCCCGGGCCACGCGGCAGCCCGGGCCACGCGGCAGCCCGGGCCACGCGGCAGCCCGGGCCACGCGGCAGCCCGGGCCACGCGGCAGCCCGGGCCACGCGGCAGCCCGGGCCACGCGGCAGCCCGGGCCACGCGGCAGCCCGGACCACGCGGCAGCCCGGACCACGCGGCAGCCCGGACCACGCGGCAGCCCGGACCACGCGGCAGCCCGGACCACGCGGCAGCCCGGACCACGCGGCAGCCCGGACCACGCGGCAGCCCGGACCACGCGGCAGCCCGGACCACGCGGCAGCCCGGACCACGCGGCAGCCCGGACCACGCGGCAGCCCGGACCACGCGGCAGCCCGGACCACGCGGCAGCCCGGACCACGTGGCAGCCCGGAGCCCCGCACTCGCGTGGCCTCCTCCTCCGTTCGTTCCAGTTCTGACCACGTGTCGTTCGTCTCCACCCCTATTTAATACCCGGGTCACGTGGTACGTTTCAACCAATCCTGGTTAGCCTCCATGGAATATTCCAGACTCCCTCGTAGGCTCCCGGGACCACGCCCCTGACTCGTCTCCCCATTGGCTGTGGCCAAAGCCAGCAGAACCAATCCTCTACTTACAGCTGTCACCTTTCCGTTACGTCAGGGCCACGCCCCTAGGCTTCCCTCCATTGGCTATGGACCAGGACCAGCAGAGCCAATCATCATGAACGAGTTGTGATACTTTTCGATTTAAAGCTTTCGTGACTGCAGGGATTCATCTTCTTGGTTCTTTCGGTAAAGTCACGTAGAATGGAAATAATAAAATAATAAAAAATAAAACATCCTAAAATAATTCTCACATATTGTGTTTGATTTTTATTCTTTTATTATTTCCATTCTACGTGACTTTACCGAAAGAACCAAGAAGACGAGTTGTGATACGTCAGTGAGCCGGATATATCCTCACATTACAAACGCAAAATATATATTTTCCGTACAAAGAATGCAAGGACAAGTTTGGAACGCCAGGGAAGAGGGGAGGATTCCAACTAAGAACTCGTGAGAAATAGAAAAACAATCCCACAGTCAAGTCCAGAGGACACGAAGAGAGGTCGGACTTCTTCTGAAACGGAGTAGGATCAGAAGGGCGAGAAGGTGGAGGATAGCAGTGGTGAGGAGGGAAAGTTGGTCTAAATTGTCTGATTGTTTACACCATTGGTACCTCATTTGCCAGTAAAACATATAATTGTTTTTTTACCCTTTTATCTGGAAACAAACTGACACCTTTTTTACAAGGAGTCATGTTTGCATTGACCACAATACCTGCAGTCGTAATGCAAACAAAAAACATAACTCTGATAATGTATGCACTGTCCTTGAAGTTGATTGGTCCACACCCGAGACAGCTTTCCTTAGAGCCTAGTCTCACATGGTGTTGGACCAGATGACGCCAAAATGCGCACAACTCAAAGACAATACACCATCAGAGTATGAGAGCTCGGGGTAAGCATTTACACCATTGGTACCTCATTTGCCAGTAAAAAATATGATAATGTATGCACTGTCCCTGAAGTTAACTTCAAGGACAGTGCATACATTATCAGAGTTATGTTTTTTGTTTGCATTATGACTGCAGGTATTGTGGTCTATGCAAACATGACTCCTCGTAAAAAAAGGTGTCAGTTTTGTTGCCAGATAAAAGGGTACAAAACCAATTATTATGTCTCATGGTTGTTATTGTTTGACTTGCATCCCACTGGGATTTTTGCACACAGCGTTGACATACGGTGCTTTTTCTGGAAGACTTTGCTGTTTTTCCATGGATTTTTCTGTTTGCGCATAGTCACTTTAAGATGTTTCTTGTTCGCGTTTGTGTTTGTTGCGGTTGCACCCTGAGTCAAGAGCCGAATGGCTCACAGGGCTCTACCTAATAAATGAAACTGAACTGAATTGATGAGCATGGGATGGAGAAAGGTAAGGGAAACAGGCTTGCTGTCAAACGGAAGAAGTCTCCAAATGCAGAGTCAGTGAATCGGACACGGTCAGACGACCAGGAAAATCAAGAATATCGAGGCGGTAATTGGGAGCACGAGCAAAGCACGGAGCAGGCTCCAGAAAAGCCCAGCGATGAGACTTAATTCTGTGAAACAGAAGTCAAATTATGCATTACAGTAAAACCTTTGACTGCGAGTAACTTGGTCTGCGAGTGTTTTGCAAGACGAGCAAAATTTTAAAATAAATATTAATTTGATAAACGAGCGAGGCCTTGCAATACGAGTAGCACGTGTGTACGTTTTGTCTGCCGAGCGTCACGTGATCACAACTCATATACGAGTGCTTTGATACACGAGTGCTTTGATACACGAGTGCTTTGATACACGAGTGCTTTGATACACGAGTGCTTTGATACACGAGTGCTTTGATACACGAGTGCTTTGATACACGAGTGCTTTGATACACGAGTGCTTTGATATACGAGTGCTTTGATATACGAGTGCTTTGATATACGAGTGCTTTGATATACGAGTGCTTTGATATACGAGTGCTTTGATATACGAGTGCTTTGATACACGAGTGCTTTGATACACGAGTGCTTTCATACACGAGTGCTTTGATACATGAGTGCTTTGATACACGAGTGCTTTGGATTACACACACGTTTCCGGAATGAATTATGCTCGCAATCCAAGGTTTTACTGTAATTATTCCGATTATGCCACCTTCAATTGAACATTTCCTTTGTGGACCAGTATGCCAATTTTAAACTGCCTATCTATTGTCCAGAATCACGTGGTATCATCTCACTGAATACCAATTTTCAGTGTTTCGCTGTGCTTAGTTGTGTGTTACCTTAGGCCAGGGGTCGGGAACCTTTTTGACTGGGAGAGCCATAAAAGCCAAATATTTCTAAATATATTTTATTGAGAGCCATATAGTATTTTTAACGTATAATAAATTAGATATGTCTTACTTTTAATTCGACTTCTGGTCACGGGACCTGTGACCCGAGAAATTTTATCTTCAAAACTAATTTCTGTTTACTTTAAAATGACACGGTATTATTAAGCAGTATCACAAGTATTTTAAAATCAGTTCCAAACTGATTTTATTTTTTTTATTATTATTTTTTTCAACTCAAAATTGTCTGGGAGCCATATGCCGTCACCGGAAGAGCCATATATGGCTCGCGAGCCATAGGTTCCCGACCGCTGCCTTAGGTTTTGCTGGTTTGCGTTGTAATAGCTCGTTTTGTGTTGCATATGTAGTGCCATAAGAGGGGAGGGGCTGCTGGGGGCTCTGGGACCCTAGACAGATAAGCCTCGGCGCCAGGCGCTAGGATCCCAGGCAACCCAGACGCTTAAGCCCCTTGGCGCCACCAACGGGGGGGCTGTGTGTGCTCTGTGGGATATCTGAGGGAGGCATACAACCCCACCCCTTGTTGGGGACGAGGCATAAAAGGGCAGCTCCCTGGCCGATCAGGGCCAGTCGTAGCTCAAGACCCAAGACCCAAGACCAGCCATCTTAGGACCCTGGACCCCCTCGTCCCGCTTGTCCTTGTAAGGGCCGGGACGTTGTGAGGGCCAGTGGTGGGACTCTGGGACTCCCGGCTCTACGTCCTTGTAAGGGCGAGTTCCGAGGAAGCCAGAGTCCAGACCCGCACCTTGGCTCGATCGGGTCAGATAGCCTCTCCTAGGGTAATTGTAGCCAAAGGACCCCAGAGCGTAGCCAGAGTAGTGTATCTAGGCTGTGTACCTAGGCTGTGTATCTAGGCTGTAACAGGGTATCAGGACTGTTGGAGTGTTGTATTGTAATAAAGAAGTTACCTCTACAAGTGTCTCTGGAACCCATTACACATATCTAAATTGCCTTTCGATGTACATGCAATGCATATTAGTCGTGGAAATATAGTTTTACTTTTGATCTGCTTAATACATTTTCAAAACAAGTTTTCTATCCATGTTTGTGCATTTGCGAATAAATGTAGTGGCGAAAATGCATCCAAAAGAACGTAATGTAAAGGTTTTATAACAGATTTTTGTTGCAAGTGATGTGGGTTTCTACAAACAATGCACTTAAAATGTACAACAAAGTCATTTTCTGATGAGTGTCACATTTCATTTTAATTGGTATAATTGCAGTTCAACAACTTAAATTCCCGTGGTTTTGCTAGTGTCTGATGTGATGTGATTGGTTGTCGTATGTGGCTGCACATATTCCAGGGGATTTGAATTGATTTTATGACTGCGTATTTCTTTTACGAGTCTGTTTACTTCATCCCCATTCATTCATGGAGTGTCACCACTTTTGTTCACGTAATTTCTCTTTAAATAAAGTGTACACTGTCAAAAGAAGAGAGAGAGAAAGAGGGGGTAGAGAGAGAGGGGGTAGAGAGAGGGGGTAGAGAGAGAGAGAGGGGGGGTAGAGAGAGGGGGTAGAGAGATGGGGTAGAGAGAGAGGGGGTAGAGAGAGAGGGGGTAGAGAGAGAGGGGGTAGAGAGAGAGGGGGTAGAGAGAGAGGGGGTAAAGAGAGGGGGTAGAGAGAGAGTGGGTAGAGAGAGAGGGGGTAAAGAGAGGGGGTAGAGAGAGAGGGGGTAGAGAGAGAGGGGGTAGAGAGAGAGGGGGTAAAGAGAGGGGGTAGAGAGAGAGGGGGTAGAGAGAGAGGGGGTAAAGAGAGGGGGTAGAGAGAGAGTGGGTAGAGAGAGAGGGGGTAAAGAGAGGGGGTAGAAAGAGAGGGGGTAGAGAGATAGGGAAGGGAAAAGGAGTCGGAGCAGAGCGTGCTTCTTCGTGTTGATGTTTGTGTCTACGAAGAAAGTAGCACAGATTGTTTTTGTTTCACAATGAGAAAACACGGAAATCTTTCTTTTTAAAACGGGGGGGGGGGGGGGGGGAGCACGTAAAGCAGCAAAGTGCCGACTCAACCGAGCATCTTCTTGTTTCCTTTGATCGTAAAACAAGAGAGAGAGAGGCAGAGAGAGCGGCAGATGACGGGGAGCTCTGCATGCAGTTATGAGCTACCCGTCGGAGGCCGTTGGACTGCGAGAAGGGCTGCGTGCAGAACGATAGTGAGCGAGAGAGTGAGCGAGCGAGAGAGCGAGAGAGAGAGCGAGCGAGAGAGCGAGCGAGGAGAACGAGCGACGAGCGAGCGAGCGAGCGAGAGAGCGAGAGAATGAGCGGGGGGGGGGGGGGGGGGGGGGGGGGGTTACATAAAGCAAAGATTTAAAAAAATACGAAATGATGAACGAAGCAAAGTGCCGACTACACCGAGCATCTTCTTGTTTCCACTGATCGTAAAACAAGAGAGGGAGAGAGGCAGGGAGAGCGAGAGAGAGGGAGGGGGGGAGGGGCGACACGGCCAGCACTCACCTGTGCCGGTATCCGACCGCTCGTCGTCGCTGTCGGTGAGCGTCAGCGCCGAGTCCTCACGGCCCGACAGGAACCCGGCTCTCCGCTGAGACCCCAGCGAGCTCCCAAACGGGACTCCTCCTCCTCGTCCACCTCCTCCTTGTCCACCTCCTTGTCCACCTCCTTGTCCACCTCCTAGTCCAACTCCTCCTAGTCCACCTTCTCCTAGTCCACCTCCTCCTAGTCCACCTCCTCCTAGACCACCTCCTCCTAGTCCACCTCCCAGTCCACCTCCTCCTCCGTCAGAAACCTCAACTTTCCCGAACGAGCCCCCAAAATTAACTCCGCTCCCAAATTCTCCTCCTCCTCCTCCACCTCCTCCTCCTCCACCTCCTCCTCCACCTCCTCCACCACCTCCCGATCCCCCTCCCCCGCCGTCGGCAGCGTCGCCGCGCCTGCGGTGGGCCGGGAAGGCCGGGGAGGCCGGGAAGGCCGCGTCGGCCCCCCTCTGTCCGCAGCCGACAGCGCCGCGCGGCACCATCACCACAAGCACCGGCGATCGGTCGGCCGTGGACGACAGTGGCACTTGCACCATCAACTCCTGCTGCTGCTGCTGATGATGGTGGTGGTGGTGATGGTACTGCTGATGATGCTGCTGCTGCTGCTGATGGTGATGATGTTGGTGGTGATGTTGTTCCAGCGCCGCCATCATCATGGAGGAGATAAGCGGAGTGGTGGCGGCAGAGCGAGACGGCGCCTGCTGCTGCTGGTCCAGACCACCGCCGGTGCCGTCCGTGTCGGCGCTCACGGAGCGGGTTCGAAAAATCCGAAGCGGTGGCGCGTCAGGATCCCAGAGGAACGCTGAACGGGGATGGAGGGGGGGGGCGTTTGGGGGGTGGGGGGGGAGAGACAAAGATTGTACGAATTAAGATTAAAAAATTGTGCATCACTAGCGTAACAATTGTAGACTCATGGTGCCGCTTGTGCCGAACCAACGGTTGCAGGCAAGCCTCACGTTCTGCTGATGAGACCCTGGATGTCAAAACTGGTTCATGGTGGTGCTTGTGTCGAACCAACGGTTGCAAGCAAGCCTGACATCTGCTGCTGCTGCTTCTGATGAAACACTGAATGTCGAAAACCGGCCCGGAGTTTTGCTCGCGTTCAACCAATGGGTTCCAGCAAGCCTCACGGTCTGCTGATGAGACACTGGATGTGAAAACCGGTGCAGCTTTGCGCCTCTGTTGAAGCAATGCTGCTGGAGACTCACTCCCGAACGAATTGTTTTCCTTTACCAGGTGAGGGGACCCCACTGAGCTATGCAGATCTTATTCTGAATCGACCTGGCCATCACAAATGATAGCTCAACAAAGTGGCTCTTCATCAACAACATCATCATCGTGTCGACATTGACATCAGCAGCCTAATACTCTCAAAGCGTGACGTCGGTTCTAAATGTGGAGGGGGGAAAACCGGAGGACCCGGAGACAAAATCCACGCGACCACGGAGAGAGGGAGACACGCAAACTCCAAATATACAGTAGCAGGCATCGTCAGGGTCGGGATCGAACCCACGACCTCCTGTAGACTAGGCGAGGTAGTTAACATCTCACCATGGAGAGAAAGACACACAAACTCCAAATATACAGCAGGCATCATCAGGATCGGGATTGAACCCACGACCTCCTGCAGACCCGGCGAGGTAGTTAACATCTCACCACGGAGAGAGAGAGACACACAAACTCCAAATATACAGCAGGCATCGTCAGGATCGGGATCGAACCCACGACCTCCTGTAGACCAGGCGAGGTAGTCAACATCTCACCACGGAGAGAGAGACACGCAAACTCCAAATATACAGCAGGCATCATCAGGATCGGGATTGAACCCACGACCTCCTGCAGACCCGGCGAGGTAGTTAACATCTCACCACGGAGAGAGAGAGACACACAAACTCCAAATATACAGCAGGCATCGTCAGGATCGGGATCGAACCCACGACCTCCTGTAGACCAGGCGAGGTAGTCAACATCTCACCACGGAGAGAGAGACACGCAAACTCCAAATATACAGCAGCAGGCATCGTCAGGATCGGGATCGAACCCACGACCTCCTGCATACCAGGCGAGGTAGTGAACATCTCCTAGCCACCGTGATTGCCCCACCAGCATGGTTATGCTGCTAATGGGATGGGTCGTAAAACACACGGATACGTACGATTGTTATGCAGAGTGGCAGACGTGGGACGCGAGGCATTAACAAGGCAGGCATCTTCCTTTGCGTTTGCTTCGCGAGAGGCAAGAGGACATTGGGAATGTTTCAAACGGAGGCGCGAGTGCCTGATGCGAGTACGTGCGTACGTGCGTGCGTACGTGCGTGGGGAGTGGTGGTGTAGCGGTTAGCGCACTCCGCTGCAAAGCTAGTGACCCCGGGTTCGAATCCCGCTCACGGCCAACACCGGTGACGATTATCTCGACCGTTCCTGGGCCTCCTCCCCTATGTCGACTCAGCCTCAAATGGGTACCCCTGGTGCGGTGTGTGCAGTGAGCATCGCCGCTGTGGGGAGACAAAGGCGGCCGGGCGTGGCGCTGGCCACCCACCCCCTCGTGCGCCGTGCTCTGTCTTCATCGGTGCTACTACTCGCTAACAGCACTTGCCCCAGTAGCCTGGTGAAGCTATACGGGGGGGGGGAGTCTTTGTCTTTGTGATAATGTTGTGCCTTTAAGCTTCGCGTTTTCTTGGCGTTTTCCTAACCGAAAAGTAGAAACTTAACAGAAAGAATGAACCAACAAACAATAGGGGCTTTTTTATTAGTAATTCCCTTGTATTTCTCGTATTCACCGTATATATATTATTTTTGTATTGTATGTTTCTATCTACCTGACCAAAAAAATAATAATTACGAATTCCAACAGTTAAGGAAGCATAAGTGGAAACTTAGTTGCACTTAACCTCAGGACATTAAAATATAACTCAAGAATAAATGTAACATACAGGACCACATAATGTATTGCATACATCTCCTCGACCACCTTTGTCTTCCAGCGGTGTCTGACCTCAGAATGACCCACGCAGGGCAAGCAAGGAGGGATCAAAAAGGTCACAGGGGGGAATCGGTGCCTGACATTCCAAAGACATCTGTTTTGTTGTTTGTTTTCTCTCGCAAGAGACGCGGAGAGAGAGAAGGGAGTCACGTTTAAGTTAGACACACACAGCGAACGAGCAGTCTGGGTTGAGTCGTGCTCAGTCTCGCAACTCGGCGTGCGACGCAGCGTTGCGACGGGGCTCGCAAGAGAGTTGGGGCAGATCGTGCCTCGAGGAGAGATGGAACGAGGAGGGGTCGTTCGAGTCGCAGAAGTCTGAGTTCAACCTGGGTCGGGGCTGGGTTTCAGCCGTGCTCCGGCTGGCGGAGCGTCGTGAGGAAACGAAACACCGATGCTGATAGCAGATGTCGCTTCTCGCAGAACGAAGTTAAGTGCGAGTAAAGCTGGCAGCCGCACGAACAAGGGGAAGCACGGAGCAGAGAGAGAGTGACGAGTGACGACAAGCAATCAACCTGTAAAAGGGCGGAGATCGCCAAGCGTCGACCAAGCGAGCAAAGCAGAGAGCGCGAAGCAGTGGAGGAAGCCTGGTCAAACGGCTGCGAGGGAGAGGACAGCGCCATCGAATGCGCCGTGTGCCTGAGGGCACACCGACCAACGACCAGTGTGAACACACAAGACGTCCAGATCGACCAAGCGAGCATCGTGCCGACTCAACAATCAATCGAGCAGTGGAGAAGCTGGGGGCTGCCACCAAGAAAGCGCGTGCGCCACCTTGCGCCACCGTGCCACCCTGCGCCACCCTGCGCCACCGGGCGCCACCGTGCGCCACCGAGCGACACCGAGCGACACCGAGCGACACGAGCGACCGAGCATCTTCAAGGAGAACATCGTGCCAACGCCGCTCAATCCAGCAGTGGAGAGAGAGAGAGAGAGCAAAAGCCGAGCGACACGCCGAGCGAGGGAGCAGCAGGAGCTTGCGGCGGCCACGCCCAATCGAGAGGAACACCTGGCCGCTGTTTGTATCCTCCTACACCACACAAGCTAACGACACAATTAATATTACGAGGGGACAACGCACACACAGCACGCACACGAATAAGACTTTAAAAGAAAAACTGTCTTTGCGTTTCAAAAAGGGTTGCCATTTCGAGGTGGTGCGTTCAATATCAACTGATCGTGCAAAGCAGTTGCTGCCGTCGAGCTGCATGAATAAGAAATGTTTAGTCATTCATTTTCGTTAACTGCATAATTTCGCCAATGATGAAGTATTTTTAGTCATTCAATTTCGTTAATTGCATAAGATTGCCCATGAATTTATTGACGTATACTCGCTTTCGCATACTAGAGTGTCATGTGCTTGTTTAGAATTAAAATTGCTTAACACCAACTGTTCGAGTGCTTCTTTCCAAGTCCATGCAAAACTGTCTTATTCTTGACAACTGTATCCTGTGATGAGATCTGAACCTGGAGAATTAAAATATTATAACACACACTAGGATAATCGGTAAATGAATCTATGATAATCGTGTTATCCTGATTGATAACCCTGGATAAACGAAACTAAGCAAATTATCGTAACTGCACACATTAACATAATCGCAAGCCTCAGCATAAAATACTACGATTATCATAATTTATGCATATAATCACACGCATTATCATGATTTATGCATATAATCACACGCATTATCATAATTCATGCGTATTAATACACACACTATCATAATTAATGCGATTTGCGCATTTTTCGGAAAATTATTAATTTTTATTATTTTCATCAAAATTTCATAATTCCGACACATACAACATAATGGGTGGCCCGTCCGGGATCTCTCACAGACAGTGTTTTGCATGGATGATGGAATGAACCACTACGTGTTAACCAGAATATCGGGATCGAACATTGCATGGTGATTATAAACGGGCGAAAAAAAAAAACGCCCTCTAAGGTTAAAACCCAGAATAGCAGGTTGAAACAGAGAGTGGAATTAAGATAATACCGTATCAAACCGATTGCATCCTGTGATAAATGGTGTTAGAGGTACGCACTCTGAATCGGAAAAGTACAGGATAGCTCGAGTCAAATTGACTACACTCTGTGAGATAATTGTTTTATATGCACTCTGAAAGGGAATGTCAAAGTAACTCCCGCCACACTTTTGAGATGCTGGGATTAAGAATAATTTTTGAATGGGTTACGGGATACGGGGAGCTCGTATTTAAACGTACCGACCAATCTGTTACAAAGCATTACAGTCAGAGAGACATATGGGAAGGGAGCTGTATCGATAACACGAACACACCTCGGGGGAAACTAATTGACTGGATAAAATGTAACGAAGGCGAACACGATGCAAAAACTGCAGAGAAGGCAGGACAGGACTCATACCTTCTCACACAGGCATACAGACAGGGATTGTGGAATGAGGAAAAATTCGGAAAGGAAACAGGAGAGAAATCGTCTTTAATAAACGAGGAAAAATGTCCTCACACCATCGTAAGGAAGGAGAAATCTGGGCTCGCGACACCAGCGAAACTCACAGATGTTGATCCACAGAATAAATATGGAAGTAACATTAAATCACACTCTTGGGTACGTGGACAGAGTCCAGGGACTAATCGCACAAAAATTATGGATATCGAACAAAAAATCCTTGATAAAGAGAAACCCTCACAATTCGAGAGAAGGGATGGAGAGATACATATGCAAACAAAAACATGTGAGACTGACAACTTCACAGATAGAGGGAGGAAAAATGTTAAAGTAAAGTCGACAGGACATGGTACACTAAGGGCAGAGGCAAAAACTGAAGGGAAATGGCAACACGAGCGACACGGCACTGGGCGCGCACACAAAAAATGCACGCCACTTAAACACAAGCGACACAGCACAGACCAAAGTGACAGATTACCTGATGATAACTTGTTTGATGATGACGCTGTCGGCAATCAACTTTCGGAATACCTATTCACCAGTAAAACCCTTAAGTTGATGGACAAGGCTCTAGTCAGAATTCCCGATTTTGACCCCCACAATAAGTCCATGGATATACATACACATATCGCGACAGTGGAAGAGGAGGCAATGATTAGAGGGCTGATGAGACGGGATGAAAAAGCGAGTTTGTTGAAACGAAGCTTACATAAAGATTCTATCCCATGGGTAAAGTCACTACCACACAAGGTTAGAAATGATTTTAAACAATTGAGCCTGGCAGTGATTCGGAAGTTTGGAGAATATTCGACACTCACTGAGGGGTTTTATGCTGTAAAATCGATGACCCAGGGCATGGACCAAGATCCACGTGACTACCTCGTCCAATTTAAAAGAGCGTATTACGCAGGCGATGTGAATCAATACCACGAAGGAGATAAAATGTTCAAAATTATGTTTTTTGAATCCTTGAGCCCAGAGATTACAGAAAGGGTGAGGATGGTTTTGAATCCAGAAACCGCATCCTTACGCCGCATAGAGAGCAAGGCGTACATGGCATGGTTATACAGAGCTAAGAATCATAATTCGGATCCAGAACACAGGGAGAGGGATAAGGAACCCAGCCTCTCAGAGAGGAATAAAAATCACCGATCAGTCCCACCATGCAGGGAGCAGCAAAAACGCACGCACACATGGCAAAATAACCCAGAGAGAGGTTGGCACGAGAAAGAGAGCGGCACAAAGCCGAACATTCAGGAGAATCGCAGGAGGGAGAGGTTAAGGGCAGAACCATATCAACACCCCATGCCCCGACATGCGCAAGGTCAAGATTACCCACAGGGATGGCGAAGTAACAATCCAGGAAAAATTTGGCACCCAAATGGGAAAAACACTGGGCCAAGGGTGTACGAGAATCGTAGGAGGGAGAGGTTCAGAACAGAACCATATCAACACCCCATCCCACGACACACGCAAGGTTCAAATTACGCACAGAGATGGCAAGATAACCACCTAGCGGGAAGGTGTTACACAGACCGCGGAGGTATGGATGCGAACATTCAGGAGAATCGCAGGATGGGAGGTCAACCACAATCGATCCAATTCCGACCAATTCCTCCACCGGCTATACCAGGAGGGAATAGAGGAATAACACAGAATGCGGTCCAAATACATGATAAACAACCCACAGGGAGCGCGAGCGAGCGGCCAACACGCGCCCCACCCGCCGAGGTGTTAAACCCGGAGCTCAATGGGAAATACAGGCAAGCTGCAAGTGACAGGGCGGGCAAAAACGTGGACAGTGCTCCCGTAAATGACGCGCGGATCGAATACAAGGACAGGGTTGCATTGAAGCGTGATCGGACAGTACAAAAACAGACAGCAGGGACACGCCCTGAGGAGCGCAGGCATGAGCCTTTGAATGGAAAATATCCAAGGGAAACCAAAAATTATGTGGATCGGAGTGCTAAAATGGAGACGAATGTTCATGACATATCGGGAATGGTGTTGAAATCTAACACACTCGTAAAAACAAAGAGGGCAACATTACGAGGGACAGAATTAAATCGACACACTGACTCGGCAAATGTGCATGTAATCGCAGAGAGAGCGAATGCCTCGAACCAAGTGTCAAAGTGGGTCGTGTGCGCGAATTCTGGTTATGTGCAGCACAATTTTTCACCACACACTCCCACGACGCGAGAGAGTGAGAGAGGAAACTACAAAAACGAACCCGAAAACCGTGATCGAATTATCAAAGTGATAAGTGGTAAACGAGGCAACATGAGGAAGGTAACGCATAAATGCGTTCGAAACCGCTACCTAGCGTTTCCCAGGATTTAACAAAAACAAAAATGAATATTCGTCGGAGTTATGATGTATGAGAACCATGTAACTGGTGATATCGATGTTTAACGTTTGTTTAATTTTCTTTGCTCAATTCAAATGTAACCATGTTAAGCAAAAACAAAAATGAACATTCGTCAGAGTTATGATGTATGAGAACCGATGTAACGCAATATCGATGTTTAACGTTTGTTTAATTTTCTTTACTCAATTCAAATGTAACCATATCAAGACTGTAATACGTGCACGCGCGTCGTAAGAAATAACCGCCGAGAGTGAGGGCGGCTGATGGATTTATAACAAAAAAAAACAGGGCATTTACTTTGTTTGAAAATTCGCCAGTGGCCGAATCAACCACTGATAATTTTCAAAAGGGCGGACTGTTGTATCTATGCCCTGTTTTCCGTTATTAATATTAAGAATAATTAAGAAAAAAATATTTTTTTAACATCTATTTTTTTTAAAAAATTAAATAATGAAAACAACTCACGGGCACACCGGGAGTCCATGAGACATGGAGGGCGGTTGAAATGATAGGAATTCGGTCACAAAAAGGTCATAGACATCCAGACGGACAAAAAGATGTATGGACTAAACCTCCCGAGACATCTGGAGATGTACAGATAAGGTGCAGAGTGAATGACGGTTGAAGCTTCGCGTTTTCTTGGCGTTTTCCTAACCGAAAAGTAGAAACTTAACAGAAAGAATGAACCAACAAACAATAGGGGCTTTTTTATTAGTAATTCCCTTGTATTTCTCGTATTCACCGTATATATATTATTTTTGTATTGTATGTTTCTATCTACCTGACCAAAAAAATAATAATTACGAATTCCAACAGTTAAGGAAGCATAAGTGGAAACTTAGTTGCACTTAACCTCAGGACATTAAAATATAACTCAAGAATAAATGTAACATACAGGACCACATAATGTATTGCATACATCTCCTCGACCACCTTTGTCTTCCAGCGGTGTCTGACCTCAGAATGACCCACGCAGGGCAAGCAAGGAGGGATCAAAAAGGTCACAGGGGGGAATCGGTGCCTGACATTCCAAAGACATCTGTTTTGTTGTTTGTTTTCTCTCGCAAGAGACGCGGAGAGAGAGAAGGGAGTCACGTTTAAGTTAGACACACACAGCGAACGAGCAGTCTGGGTTGAGTCGTGCTCAGTCTCGCAACTCGGCGTGCGACGCAGCGTTGCGACGGGGCTCGCAAGAGAGTTGGGGCAGATCGTGCCTCGAGGAGAGATGGAACGAGGAGGGGTCGTTCGAGTCGCAGAAGTCTGAGTTCAACCTGGGTCGGGGCTGGGTTTCAGCCGTGCTCCGGCTGGCGGAGCGTCGTGAGGAAACGAAACACCGATGCTGATAGCAGATGTCGCTTCTCGCAGAACGAAGTTAAGTGCGAGTAAAGCTGGCAGCCGCACGAACAAGGGGAAGCACGGAGCAGAGAGAGAGTGACGAGTGACGACAAGCAATCAACCTGTAAAAGGGCGGAGATCGCCAAGCGTCGACCAAGCGAGCAAAGCAGAGAGCGCGAAGCAGTGGAGGAAGCCTGGTCAAACGGCTGCGAGGGAGAGGACAGCGCCATCGAATGCGCCGTGTGCCTGAGGGCACACCGACCAACGACCAGTGTGAACACACAAGACGTCCAGATCGACCAAGCGAGCATCGTGCCGACTCAACAATCAATCGAGCAGTGGAGAAGCTGGGGGCTGCCACCAAGAAAGCGCGTGCGCCACCTTGCGCCACCGTGCGCCACCCTGCGCCACCCTGCGCCACCGGGCGCCACCGTGCGCCACCGAGCGACACCGAGCGACACCGAGCGACACGAGCGACCGAGCATCTTCAAGGAGAACATCGTGCCAACGCCGCTCAATCCAGCAGTGGAGAGAGAGAGAGAGAGCAAAAGCCGAGCGACACGCCGAGCGAGGGAGCAGCAGGAGCTTGCGGCGGCCACGCCCAATCGAGAGGAACACCTGGCCGCTGTTTGTATCCTCCTACACCACACAAGCTAACGACACAATTAATATTACGAGGGGACAACGCACACACAGCACGCACACGAATAAGACTTTAAAAGAAAAACTGTCTTTGCGTTTCAAAAAGGGTTGCCATTTCGAGGTGGTGCGTTCAATATCAACTGATCGTGCAAAGCAGTTGCTGCCGTCGAGCTGCATGAATAAGAAATGTTTAGTCATTCATTTTCGTTAACTGCATAATTTCGCCAATGATGAAGTATTTTTAGTCATTCAATTTCGTTAATTGCATAAGATTGCCCATGAATTTATTGACGTATACTCGCTTTCGCATACTAGAGTGTCATGTGCTTGTTTAGAATTAAAATTGCTTAACACCAACTGTTCGAGTGCTTCTTTCCAAGTCCATGCAAAACTGTCTTATTCTTGACAACTGTATCCTGTGATGAGATCTGAACCTGGAGAATTAAAATATTATAACACACACTAGGATAATCGGTAAATGAATCTATGATAATCGTGTTATCCTGATTGATAACCCTGGATAAACGAAACTAAGCAAATTATCGTAACTGCACACATTAACATAATCGCAAGCCTCAGCATAAAATACTACGATTATCATAATTTATGCATATAATCACACGCATTATCATAATTTATGCATATAATCACACGCATTATCATAATTCATGCGTATTAATACACACACTATCATAATTAATGCGATTTGCGCATTTTTCGGAAAATTATTAATTTTTATTATTTTCATCAAAATTTCATAATTCCGACACATACAACACACGGACCCAGGATCTGCAAGCGCATTAACACATCACTATGCGCACACACACACATCACTATGCGCACACACACACATCGCTATACACACACACACATCGCTATACACACACACACACACATCGCTATGCACACGCACACACATCACTATACACACACACACACATCCCTATACACACGCACACATACACATCGCTATGCGCACACACATCGCTATACACACACACACATCGCTATACACACACATCGCTATACACACACACACATCGCTACACACACACACACATCGTGATGCACACACACACACATCGCTATACACACACACACATCGCTATACACACACACACATCGCTCTACACACACATCGCTCTACACACACACACATCACTATGCACACACACACATCACTATGCGCACACACACACATCACTATGCACACACACATCGCTATGCACACACACACACATCGCTATACACACACACACATCGCTATACACACACACACACATCGCTATACACACACACACACATCGCTATACACACACACACATCGCTATACACACATACACACATCGCTATGCACACACACACACATCGCTATACACACACACACATCGCTACACACACACACACATCGCTATACACACATACACACATCGCTATGCACACACACACACATCGCTATGCACACACACACATCGCTATGCACATACACACACACACATCGCTATGCACACACACACATCGCTACACACACACACACATCGCTATGCACACACACACACACATCGCTATACACACACACATCGCTATACACACACACACACACATCGCTATACACACACACACACACATCGCTATACACACACCGCTATGCACACACATCCCTATACACACACACATCGCTATACACACACATTACGATGCACACACACACACACATTACTATACACACACACATCGCTATACACACACACACATCGCTATGCACACACACACACACACATCGCTATACACACACACATACATCGCTATGCACACACACACACACATCGCTATAAACACACACATACATCGCTATACACACACACACACATCGCTATACACACACACACATCGCTATGCACACACACACACACACATCGCTATACACACACACATACATCGCTATCCTCTTCCCCCCCCCTCTTCTTCCCCCCCCTCCTCCTCTCCCCCCCTCCTCCCCCCCCCTCCCCCCCCCTTGTCCCCTACCCGTGGCGTAGTCGTCAGCGGTGCGAGCCGTCGCCGTCGTCATCGCCACCTCGTCGCCCTCTCCCCTCGTCGCATTCCCGCCGGGGTCACCACCGGGGTCACCACCGGGGTCACCACCGGCACCACCGTTCGTGTCGCCGGTGCCGTACGACTTGGCGGGGATGGTGACCCATGGCGCCTCCTCCTCCACCTCCTCCACCTCCTCCACCTCATCCTCCACCTCCTTCGCCCCCCCGGGGTCGCGGTCGAGGCGACCCCGGGCGGCCGGCCTCCCGGCTGCTCGCTCGCTGGGAAGAAGTGGAAAGAATAAATGAACCCGTAAAAACAAAGTTTTTCACAATAAATCCTGTATATGCGTGGCGGCTAGAGTCCTCCCGTCCTCTGGCTTGAGATGGCTGCCACCTATGGGTCAGATGATTGTCTGCCACCATTAAGCAATTGGTAATTAAATATTATATTTTTTCCTAAAAAGTGTAAAATTTTGGGAAAAAAATTTCACGAAAATACATTGTCTCGCACAACGAGTCTGTGTGCAAAATGTCAAAATGTGTTGCAGTCGAAACGTCGTGATAATTTTATTGTTTAATATTTTTATTATTTTATTATTTCCCTTCTACGTGATTACTTTACCGAAAGAACCAAGAATATGAATCCCTGCAGTCACGAAAGCTTTAAATAAAAAAAATATAATAAACTCGCTTTACTACCCGGCTTCGCCCGAGACTTGGATTGGATTAAACGCGGAGGGTTGAGGGGGGGGGGTGCGTGACGTCAGCAGTCACACACTGCGTGACGTCAGCAGTCACACACTGCGTGACGTCAGCAGGAACAGTGCGTGACGTCAGCAGGCACACTGCGTGACGTCAGCAGGCACACTGCGTGACGCTGCCGCATGCGGGTGACATCACAGATGTGACGTCACCGCTCACTTGCCGTGCAAAATATAACCATTATTGCACCCCTCCCCCCACCCCAAAATACAAAAGTCTAGTTTTATACTTTTTGCATTGTGTACAGTCTGGAAGCTACCCACATGCCAAATGTCAAGTTTGTAGCATGTCGGGAAGTATGCTAAACATTTCGAACAGACACACATATTCACAAATTTCCCTTTTATAGAAATAGATATTAATAAGCTAGGAATGGCGATAGGAAATAATAAAAAAATTGAAAATTTGCTGAACGTTTAATGAGGAATTATTTTAAGATAATTTTAAAATAGAAATTTTACAAAAAATCCAATTAAACATTTGTTTTAGAACATTGTTAAATGATATAAAGTCACGCAAAAAATAATTGACATTTTTTAACGTATCAAATTAGAAAAAATAATAATACAAATTTATACAAAAAATAATCATAAAATAGTGAAATAAATAACGATACAAATGGTCGTAAAAAATATTTTTTTTAAATCATCGAACGCGCACATCGATTCTAACAGAATCACAATCGTCGTTAAGACTGCAGGAGGAGTGCGGTGACGATGCAGCTTTCCCTCCCCACAGAACACCTTGTCCTGCGGAGGGAGCTGGTAGGAACGTCGGGTTGCTCGGTCAATGGCCTGCAGGGTCAACGGCGGCGTGGTGTATTCCGCAAATATGCCCGACTGTGAGGGCGGGCACAAGCCGGCGTGAGTAGGTGAAACGTTGAGTTTTATAAGGGCACCACGGGGTGACCAGCCCCTCCCCACCCAGCCCCACCCCTCCCACCCCCCACCCAGCCCCACCCTCCCCACCCAGCCCCTCCCCACCCTCCCCATCCAGCCCCTCCCCACCCTCCCCACCCTCTCTCTGTGCGAGTCTACGGGTCTCTGTGTGAGTCTATGGGTCTCTATGTGAGTCTATGGGTCGCTATGTGAGTCTATGGGGATCTGTGTGAGTCTATGGGTCTCTGTGTGAGTATATGGGTATCTGTGTGAGTCTATGGGTCTCTGTGTGAGTCGATGGGTCTCTATGTGAGTCTATGGGTCTTTTTGTGAGTATATGGGTATCTGTGTGAGTCTATGGGTCTCTGTGTGAGTCTATGGGTCTCTATGTGAGTCTATGGGTCTCTGTGTGAGTCTATGGGTCTTTGTGTGAGTATATGGGTCGCTATGTGAGTCTATGGGTCTCTATGTGAGTCTATGGGTTTCTATGTGAGTCTATGGGTCTCTAGGTGAGTCTATGGGTCTCTGTGTGAGTCTATGGGTCTCTGTGTGTGTCGGTGGGTCTCTATGCCAGTCTTTGGGTCTCTATGAGTTTACGGGTCTCTGTGTGAGACTGTGGGTCTCTATGTGAGTCTATGGGTCTCTGTGTGAGTCTATGGGTCTCTGTGTGATGAGTCTACGGGTCTCTATGTGAGTCTATGGGTCTCTGTGCGAGTCTATGGGTCTCTATGCGAGTCTATGGGTCTCTGTGTGAGTCTATGGGTCTCTGTGTGATGAGTCTACAGGTCTCTGTGTGATGAGTCTATGGGTCTCTGTGTGAGTCTATGGGTGTCTGTGTGAGTCTATGGGTCTCTGTGTAAGTCTATGGGTCTCTGTGTGAGTCTATGGCTCTCTGTGTGAGTCTATGGGTCTCTGTGTGAGTCTATGGGTCTCTGTGTGAGTCTATGGGTCTCTGTGTGAGTCTATGGGTGTCTGTGTGAGTCTATGGGTCTCTGTGTAAGTCTATGGGTCTCTGTGTGAGTCTATGGGTCTCTGTGTGAGTCTATGGGTCTCTGTGTGAGTCTATGGGTCTCTGTGTGAGTCTATGGTTCTCTGTGTGAGTCTATGGGTCTCTGTGTGAGTCTATGGGTCTCTGTGTGAGTCTATGGGTCTCTGTGTGAGTCTATGGGTCTCTGTGTGAGTCTATGGGTCTCTGTGTGAGTCTATGGGTCTCTGTGTGAGTCTATGGGTCTCTGTGTGAGTCTATGGTTCTCTGTGTGAGTCTATGGTTCTCTGTGTGAGTCTATGGGTCTCTGTGTGAGTCTATGGGTCTCTGTGTGAGTCTATGGGTCTCTGTGTGAGTCTATGGGTCTCTGTGTGAGTCTATGGGTCTCTGTGTGAGTCTGTGGGTTTAACCTCCGTGACCTTACCGGCGTGACCTGGTGAGTGACCGGTAGCTGCTGCATCTCCTCTCATCGCTGTCAGCATCCATCCCGCAGCGGTGCTCGCTCACCACTCCCTGCTGGGGTGGTTGTTGTTGTTGTTGATGTTGTTGTTGTGGCTGTTGTTGTTGTCAATGGCCACCACCTTAGTCTGGACCGAACAGACGACATAACGATCGAACTTTGAATCATTGATATCATCGCCATCATCATCATCATCGCCACCATCGTCGTAATCATCATCGTCATAATCACCATCATCACCATCATCATTGTCAATCATCATAATCATCATCGTCATCATCATCGCCGCCATCGTCGTGATCATCATCGTCATAAACATCGTCAATCATTGTAATCATCATCATCATCATTGTCGTCATCATTGTCGTCATCATCGTCGTCATCATCGTCGTCATGATCACCATCGCTGATGTCATAATCACCATCATCATCATTGTCAATCATCATAAGCATCACCATCATCATCATCATCATTGTCATCATCATCGTCGTCATCATCGTCGTCATGATCACCATCGCTGATGTCATAATCAGCATCATCATCATTGTCAATCATCATAAGCATCATCATCATCGTCGTCATGATCACCATCATCATCGCTGATGTCATAATCATCATCAGCAATAAATCCACTGCTGGATGTTACGATCCGCACGGCACCTGCCCCTGGGCACCGTCGTTCCGTCTCCATGGCAGCCGCTCCACCGGGGAGATGGAGCGGTGCACTTGCCCCAACGGCCTGCCAAGCCTATACGGGGGGCCTTTGTATGTGTCTTGCTGTTCAAAATCCTCTCAACATCATCATCAACAACAGCTGTTGCTGTTTGCCACTAATTGGCGGTGACGTCACCACGGCGCTTGTGCCAGGCTAGGTGCACTTTAAGGTCACGTGACAGACCCAGGTGTTACGGGTTGACTGCTGTACCAGGCTAGGTGCAGGAGGAGGTCACGTGTACAGCCCCTGGTGTTACGGGTTAACTGCTGTGCCAGGCTAGGTGCAGGAGGAGGTCACGTGGACAGCCCCAGGTGTTACGGGTTGACTGCTGTGCCAGGCTAGGTGCAGGAGGAGGTCACGGGACAGACCCAGGTGTTACGGGTTGACTGCTGTACCAGGCTAGGTGCAGGAGGAGGTCACGTGTACAGCCCCTAGTGTTACTGGTTAACTGCTGTGCCAGGCTAGGTGCAGGAGGAGGTCACATGACAGACCCAAGTGTTACGGGTCGACTGCTGTACCAGGCTAGGTGCAGGAGGAGGTCACGTGACAGACCCAAGTGTTACAGGTTGACTGCTGTGCCAGGCTAGGTGCAGGAGGAGGTCACGTGGACAGACACAGGTGTTACGGGTTGACTGCTGTGCCAGGCTAGGTGCAGGAGGAGGAGGTCACGTGGACAGCCCCAGGTGTTACGGGTTAACTGCTGTGCCAGGCTAGGTGCAGGAGGAGGTCACGTGACAGACCCAGGTGTTACGGGTTGACTGCTGTGCTAGGCTAGGTGCAGGAGGAGGTCACGGGACAGACCCAGGTGTTACGGGTTGACTGCTGTACCAGGCTAGGTGCAGGAAGAGGTCACGTGTACAGCCCCTGGTGTTACGGGTTAACTGCTGTGCCAGGCTAGGTGCAGGAGGAGGTCACGTGGACAGCCCCAGGTGTTACGGGTTGACTGCTGTGCCAGGCTAGGTGCAGGAGGAGGTCACGGGACAGACCCAGGTGTTACGGGTTGACTGCTGTACCAGGCTAGGTGCAGGAGGAGGTCACGTGGACAGACCCAGGTGTTACGGGTTGACTGCTGTACCAGGCTAGGTGCAGGAGGAGGAGGTCACGTGGACAGCCCCAGGTGTTACGTGTTAACTGCTGTGCCAGGCTAGGTGCAGGAGGAGGTCACGTGACAAACCCAGGAATTACGGGTTGACTGCTGTGCCAGGCTAGGTGCAGGAGGTCACGTGGACAGCCCCAGGTGTTACGGGTTAACTGCTGTGCTCGGCTAGGTGCAGGAGGAGGTCAGGTGACAGACTCACGTGTTAAGGGTAAATTTGTGTGCCAGGCTAGGTGTGCCAGGCTAGGTGCGCCAGGCTATAATTCTGGTGGTAATGATGGTGGTGGCATGAGTGGTGATGGCTGTGATGATGATGGCGGTGATGATGATGGCGGTGATGATGGCGGCGGTGATGATGGCGGCGGTGATGATGGCGGCGGTGATGATGATGGTGGTGGTGATGATGATGATGGCGGGGGTGATGATGGTGGTGATGATGGTGATGATGATGGCGGCGGTGATGATGGCAGGGATGATGGTGGTGGTGATGATGATGATGGCGGTGATGATGATGATGGCCGTGATGATGGAGGTGGTGATGATGATGATGATGGCGGTGATGATGGCGGTGGTGGTGGTGGCGGTGGTGATGATGATGGCGGTGATGATGGCTGTAATGATGATGATGGCGGTGGTGGTGGTGGCGGTGGTGATGATGGCGGTGATGATGGCTGTGATGATGGTAGTAATGATGATGATGAGTATCGTGGTGCTGATTGATGATAATAATGATGGCGGTTTCGATGGTTGCGGTGACGGTGATGATGGTGATGTTGGTGGCCGTGATGATGGCCGTGATAGTGACGATGATGTCCGTGATGGTTGTGCTGATGGTCGCTGCGGTGATGATGGTGGTGGCGGCGATGGCGATGTTGGTAGCGCAATGCGGAGTGTGTCTGCCGCTCCGTGCCGCAGTATTCGCCCACTCCTCATCGTAAATTACTCCCCTCTTCCCTCTCCCCTCCTGCCTCTCTCTTTCTTTACCCCCATCTCCCTCCCCTCTCTCTCTCCTCTCTCCATGTCTCTCTCGTGTTTCTCTACGATCAGAGGAAACAAGAAGATGCTCGGTGTAGTCGGCACTTTGCTTCGTTCATCATTGCGTTTTTTTGGGGTTTTTTTCTCTTCCAATGCTTTGCTCTCTCTCGCTCTCGATTTCCACTACCCCCCCCCCCTCTCTCCTACCCCCCCCCCCCCCCACTCTCTCTCTCCCCCCCCCCCTCTCTCCTGCCCCCCATCTCTCCTACCCCCCCTCTCTCTCTCTCCTGCCCCCCCTCTCTCTCTCTCCTGCCCCCCCTCTCTCTCCTACCCCCCCACTCTCTCTCTCCTGCCCCCCTCTCTCTCCTACCCCCCCTCTCCCTCTCTCCTACCCCCCCTCTCTCTCTCTCCTACCCCCCCTCTCTCTCTCTCCTACCCCCCCCTCTCTCTCCTACCCCCCCCCCTCTCTCTCTCCTGCCCCCCCTCTCTCTCCTACCCCCCCTCTCTCTCTCTCCTGCCCCCCCTCTCTCTCCTACCCCCCCTCTCTCTCTCCTGCCCCCCCTCTCTCTCCTACCCCCCCTCTCTCTCTCTCCTGCCCCCCTCTCTCTCCTACCCCCCCTCTCTCTCTCTCCTACCCCCCCCCTCTCTCTCTCCTGCCCCCCCTCTCTCTCCTGCCCCCCTCTCTCTCCTACCCCCCTCTCTCTCTCTCCTGCCCCCCCTCTCTCTCCTACCCCCCCCCCCCTCTCTCTCTCCTGCCCCCCCCCTCTCTCTCTCCTGCCCCCCCTCTCTCTCCTACCCCCCTCTCTCTCTCTCCTACCCCCCCCCCCTCTCTCTCTCCTGCCCCCCCTCTCTCTCCTACCCCCCCTCTCTCTCTCTCCTACCCCCCCCTCTCTCTCCTACCCCCCCCCCCTCTCTCTCCTGCCCCCCCTCTCTCTCCTACCCCCCTCTCTCTCTCTCCTGCCCCCCCTCTCTCTCCTACCCCCCCCCCCCTCTCTCTCCTGCCCCCCCTCTCTCTCCTACCCCCCCCTCTCTCTCTCTCCTGCCCCCCCCTCTCTCTCCTACCCCCCCTCTCTCTCTCTCCTACCCCCCCCCTCTCTCTCCTACCCCCCCTCTCTCTCTCTCCTGCCCCCCCTCTCTCTCCTACCCCCCCCCTCTCTCTCTCCTACCCACCCCCCTCTCTCTCCTACATCTCTTCTCTCTCCCTTCTATCTTCCCTCTCTCTCCTGCATCTCCCCCCCTCTCCGCCCCCCTCTCCCCTCTCCCCCTGCTCCTCCCTCCCCTCTCTTCATCTCCCCTCTCTGTCCCCTAACTCCCCTCTCCCTCCGCTCTCTCCCCATCTCCCTCCAATATATCCCCCCCTCCCTCCCATCTCCCCCTTTCCTCTCCCTCCCCTCACCTCTCCTCCCTCCTCTCTCCCCTCTCCCCTCCCCCCTCCCCCCTCTCCTCTGCCTCCCCTTCCTCCCCTCTCCCCTCCCCTCCCCTCCTCCTCCCCTCCCCTCTCCCCTCCCCTCCCCTCCCTCCCATCTCGTCTCCCCCCCTCCCCCCTCTCCTCTGCCTCCCCTCTCCTCCCCTCCCTCTCCCCTCCCACCTCCCCTCCCCCCTCCCCTCCCCCCTCCCCTCCCCCCTTCCCCCTCATCCTCTCCTCCCTTCCCCCCTTCCCTCCCCTCCTCCCCTCCCTCCCCCCCCTCTCCCCTCCCTTCCCTCCCTCCCCCCTCCCCCCTCCCCTCCCCCCTCCCCTCCCCCCTTCCCCCTCATCCTCCCCTCCCTCCCCCCCCTCCCCTCCTCCCCTCCCTCCCCCCCCTCCCCTCCCTCCCCCCTCCCCCCCTAGTTGAACTCTGATCTCGCTCCACTCTGCCTGGGGCTGAGGTTTGATTGATTATTTATTTATGTGTCTCATCCTTCCCGCGCCAATTAAAGCCCAAAATTAATACCGCTGCTGCTGCTGCTGATGATGCTGCTGATGATGCTGCTGATGGTGCTGCTGCTCATGCTCTTGCTGCTGCTGATGCTGCTGATGATGCTGATGATGATGATGCTGATGATGATGCTGCTGACGGTGCTTCTGCTGCTCATACTCCTGCTGCTGATGCTGTTGCTACTGCTGATGATGCTGCTGATGATAATGATGCTGCTGATGATGCTGCTGCTCATGCTCCTGCTGCTGATGATGCTGATGATGATGCTGATGATGATGCTGATGATGATGCTGATGGTGCTTCTGCTGCTCATGCTCCTGCTGCTGATGCTGTTGCTACTGCTGATGATGCTGCTGATGATAATGATGCTGCTGATGATGCTGCTGCTCATGCTCCTGCTGCTGATGATGCTGATGATGATGCT